ATTTCTTTCCCACCAATACTGATGTTCTGGTTGGGCACCAAATTGACCTTTGGTATTAGGTTATTATCTCTACATCTTCGAAAAAATTTGATTGAATTTTGAAAATGTGCTAGTTTCTTGTAAAGAATTTCCAATCTCCAAAAATTTTGAATTACTCTGGGCCCATAATGGTTTCTTAATATTGTTCTAGGGCTATTTTCTTGTGGCATTTAAAGTAATTACTATTTAAATGGAAACAAGTCACAATTAAAGGTTAAAGTAAGTTTATTGACGTTTCAATTTCCATTTCGGAAATCATTCTCAAAATACAAACATTAGTAAATTGATCATGAACAAACTGGCTCTATGTAGAATGTTTTCCAACCTTCTGCTTGAATATGCTGGACCTAACATCAAGACCTTTGGTAGTAGGTTATTGTCTCTACATCTTCGTCAAAATTTGATTGAATTTTGACAATGTGCCAGTTTCTTGTAAAAAATTTCCAATCTCCGAAAATGTTGAATAACGCGGGGCCCATAACTCCCCAATGTATCATATACACAGCCGAACTATTCGCTCTTTATCGAGCAATTTAGTTTATTAATGATACCAATATCATCAAAGCGGTGATTCTTTCTGATTCTCTGAGTTCCAGTACTTCAATTTAACGAGTATATCTCAAACACCCAATTGAAAAAATGATCAAGTCAGAACTTCACACATGTCAAGAAAAAGGAAGAACAGTTGACTTCATATGGATTCTTTCTCATGTGGGTATCCCCGAAAATAAAGAAGTATATTTAAGTGCGCGTAGTGCAGTGTCTAGTGCGACTTAGAAATAGTATTAAAGTACGGTCCAGAAGACTTAAAACTTTCTTCTTCTTCTTCTTCTTTTGGCATAATAACCATGGATGGGTCTTTGCCTGTCTGGCTATGTCCTTCCATTCAGATCTCTCTTGTGCCCTTCTTCTCCATTGTCTTATGTTCATTGTTTTCAGGTCGTCTTCCATGTCATCCAACCATCTCGTTCTGGGCCTTCCTTTTTTTCGCCTTCCTATGGGCTTCCATTGTAACATTTTCTTTGTTGTTTTTGCATCGTTTTGTCTCTGCACATGTCCCAGCCATGACAGTCTTTGACTTTTCACAAATCTTACAATGTCATAACCTTCATTTAATTCATTAACCTCGTCGTTTCTCCTGATTCTCCATGTGCTATCTTCCTCTTGTACCGGGCCATATACTTTCCTCAGTATTTTTCTCTCGAATGTCCTGAGTTGGGCCTCATCTTTTTTCGTCATTACCCAAGTTTTACATCCATAGGTTACTACGGGTCTAATCACTGTTCTGTAGATAGTCATTTTGGTTCTTTTGTCTAATAATTTCGATGTCATCAATCTTTTATTAGCATAGTATGTACGATTCCCGCTGAAAATACGTGCATTAATTTCGCTACTTATGGAGTTGTTCTGATTGATTTCTGTGCCGAGATATGTAAAGGCATCCACTCGTTCGATAGTATAGTTGTCTATTGTGATATTATTTTCATTGTCAGTTATTCTTTTGACTGCCATATACTTCGTTTTTGCTTCGTTTATTTTGAGACCTCTTTTTCTTGCTTCAGGATCAATTTGTTTGAACACTTCCATTAGTCGTGACTTATTCCTACTAATGATGGCTACATCGTCTGCATATGCAGTAATTTGTACTGATTAAAACTTCCTACTCAGGCAAAAATCTTATAAGTCTGGCATAACGAATGGCAAATATCAATGTCTAAACTACGACAAATTAAAGATACAGTTAAAGGAACTAAACCTTATTACAAAAATTGTCATGAACAGAGTGTAGTTAACCGATTACGATTAGGCCATACTAGACTCACATACTCTTATTTTCAAAATGTAACCCACCAATATGGGAGCGCTGCAGTTCAACCTTAACAGTAACACGTTTCTTTGAATGTGACAAATTCGAACATCAACAAGCTCTTTATAATATAGATTCAAATTTATCTGTTGTGTTAGGTCAAAATAGTTAATCAAAGAACTTAATAGATTATTTAAAAGCTATCGATGTGTTCCAAGATTTAATTTTTTTTGTATAAAACTGTTTACTTTTTAGTACTATTTGTAAAAAAATCTTTTTTGTAACCACGTAATATACCTATACTTGTAAAATTGTAAAGATTCGTCGCTAATAACCATTAGGTGAATGCGACATTGTCTTTAAAATAATAAAAAATAAATTTTAAAAAGATTTATTTTAAATCCAACTTGTTAGCGTGTTGTAAATAATCTATATGCCATACCAAAGAGTCTCTTAATTTAAAACTCTATTAATTACTATTAAACTGGGAATAAGCCACAATTAAAGATAAAAATACGTTTATTGACGTTTCAATTTCCACTTCGGAAATCGTTCTCAAAATACAAACAGTAAATTAAACAAATTTTGTTTTTTGTTACATAGTGAAAAATTCTTTTAATAATTTAATTTTATCTGACTCATTTATATTGACAATTCAGACATACATTATGCATTTTAAAGTAGACGACTTTAAAATGATATTGCCAATATTGTTGAGTTGCGCTCCTGGGACGACTTTTCTTATAAGATAGTTCATTCGATTACATGAAATCAACTTTAACTTGAGAATATCCGTCAGAAAAAAACCTCATAATACTACCCCGACATTGTAAGTATTTGTTCGTGAATTTAGTTTATCTTCAACAAACATCAAAATTCTGATTTTATATGTTACGTTATTTAAAAAACATAAATGATGTATCCTCTATATGTTACTGACTTACTAATACTGGTATTTTCTTTATTAATAACTTCCTCTTTCAATATTGGTAAACAGATTCTACTACATTCTGCCGACGAATTTGCGACACGATTGGCCTCATTTAGCATAATTAGAACCGCTTCTTTGATTTTTCTTTTTTTACCATCCGTTTCTTTTAGGACTACATTTGAATTATTCCATTGAACCCTATGTTCATTATCCCATGCGTGTTTACAGATTTGAGATCTATCAAATTCTTTATTTTTAATATAAGATTGATGTTCACTTATTCTAACATTTAATGGCCTTGATGATTCACCTAAATAAAACTGATCGCATTCACAAGGTATTTTATAAATGCAATTCTTTGTCCTTTCTTGTTCATTGTTAGGTTTGGTTTTGGACAAAATAGATCTCAACGTGTTTGTTGTTTTGAATGTTGTTGAAATGTTGAATTTATTTCCTATCCTTTATTTATTATTTAGAATTTATTATTTAGTTGAAAATATGTATTATCAGTACATAATGTTAATAACTCCATTATAGCCGATATGTTTAGTCCTGTTCTAGTTGCCAATGAATCATCACTCTCTAATTTTGTCTTGACTATACTTAAAGTCTTATTTAATGGCACATTCGTAAATAAACTATTTATGTCAAAACTTACCAAAGTATGATTTGAATTAAATTCAATATTTGATAATTTATTTAAAAAATGTTGTGTATTTTTTATGAATGTGTCATTTTTATTTGTAAATAGTTTTAAAATATTTAATAAAAATTTTGATAGTTCACTACAAGGAGAATTCATGGTACTACAAATGGGTCTAAGTGGTATATTCGTTTTATGAATTTTCGGTACTCCATAAAAATGAGGAGTTTACTGTAATGAGGTGTAATTAATCCTCTCTGATAACTTGTTAAAACATCTTTAAACTTGAATAAAGTTCTATATATTTTGTTTTCCAAAGACTTTGTTGGATCTTTTGTTAATTTTGTATAAGGTCCGTTTATTAATAGATCTTTAATTTTATTTTCGTATTGAATTTTATCCATTATCACAGTTGCTAAATATATGTTAATATATTTAGCAACTATGATATTTAGATACATCATTTATGTTTTTTAAATAACGTAACATATAAAATCAGAATTTTGATGTTTGTTGAAAGTAAACTAAATTCACGAACAAATACTTACAATGTCGGGATAGTATTATGAGGTTTTTTTCCTGGTTTTCCCTCATAATTTACTATGGAATCACTAACAGTCATGTGTTTGTCTTTTTAAAGACGAATTACATGCTATAATTTTTTTCTGACGGATATTCTCAAGTTAAAGTTGATTTCATGTAATCGAATGAACTATCTTATAAGTAAAGTCGTCCCAGGAGCGCAACTCAACAATATTGGCAATATCATTTTAAAGTCGTCTACTTTAAAATGCATAATGTATGTCTGAATTGTCAATATAAATGAGTCAGATAAAATTAAATTATTAGAAGAATTTTTCACTATGTAACAAAAAACAAAATTTGTTTAATTTACTGTTTATATTTTGAGAACGATTTCCGAAGTGGAAATTGAAACGTCAATAAACGTATTTTTATCTTTAATTGTGGCTTATTCCCAGTTTAATAGTAATTAATTTACAATGCCACAAGAAAATAGCTTCAGAACAATATTAAAACTCTATTTTGACAATGTTTCAACTTAGAAGTCAAACAAATATAAAAAAATTTAGTTTTTTATACACAAATATTTTTGTAACATTTTCTAAACTTTCCTTCAATATTTAGGTATGAAAAATTAAATTGATCTTCAAAATATTTGAAAATTTTCTTTTCCACATTTTTCATGGTACATTCATCAAAAACAATTAAGGCCTTTTTTTAGAAACTAGTAGGTACCACTAAAAGCGTCCAGCCCACATTCACCTAAACACAAATCCATAAGGCGCAAAATAAAGTGCCTACCTACCATAATTATTCTGAATTATTTTAAAAACTCAATCAAACCTCAACAATGTCATCCTCCTAAAACAAGTCTTTATAAGATCCATAATCCCTTACCGACCGAGTGACTTCTGGTATCTTTTACCTGCTAACTTCGCCTTAATGTCAGAGATTCTTAAGGTGCACCGCGCAGTAGGCAGTGCTAGTGGTGTCGGGAGGGGTACTTTGGTTTCCCATTCTACTCACTACTTGTTAGAATCATTGAGCTACCAGCCATAGTTTGGTACAGAAGCAAAAGTCAACTATCTCAGTCACTTTGTTATAGACAACCTGACGGTTAATTACATATTTTTGCCAGAAATCTTCACTACCGGCCGCAGCTGATTAACAGGTTAGTGCATTTTCTGTTTAATAGTGATAGTGTTATGTATATGTGTCCCTTTACGATGGTTTTTTAAGGTATTTGTGTACAAAATTGTTATTTATATATATATTTTTTAAACACTGTTTATTTTTCCACGATAAATTCGTTTTTACATCAACATTTATAAACAAAATTCTTACTTTAATAGTGCGTATTGGATTTCATTATTTAACTGTTTATTAGCTTTGCTAAAACATACTAAACTTTGGCATTTACTTTGTAAATAGCTAAGTGTTACGTCCTTTAAAAAGCATCCTTATTATAAACATAGTTTATGACCATTTTGATCATCAGAACGTTATGGTTTGTTTGCTGTGACATCTTTATTAGTAATAACTATTGTTGAATGTTTGCTAATGTTTTGTTATGCGACGCTTAAAACTGTTATTCAATGACACTTTCTACCGCAACTAGTGACACAATTGGTCTGTAGTAGTTACTATTTTAAAACATTTCATTAACACAAACGGCCAAAACTCTGTAAGGACTGTACTGAGATATCAACGGTCGGTTAGAACAGAAACCTGAAAACTGCATACTAATGAAGAAACTTGTGACAACTTGAACAAGACTTTATAAGTATTTATTAGTAATATATATTTAAATTTTTATGTGTGCATCTTGATTTTTTATACGTAAAGCTTTCTTTGTCATATATTTACGAAAAAAACATCTAATGTATATTGTTATCGTTGCAATACGTACTTTTGTCACTAAATACAAATGAAGATCTTATTTTGTGAAGTTAATCCCAAAAATACTTGTTTCCTAATAATAATAAATATATTTTTAAGCACACAGCAAACAATATTAAAAAAATCATTGCAACAAAGATAAATGCCAACATTAGATCAACAACATGGTTTACTTATCTTTACGTTTAGAAAATCGGTAGATATGTAAAAAATAGTGTTAAAAATATTAATTTTCTCAAAAATACTGTAAAATTACAAAAGTAGTACCATTTAGAACTAACGTAACTGTGTGGCATCACTTTTTGGTTTAAAAATGGATTTTCATAATAACTTTAGATATTTCTTGATACGCACATCATTTTTTAGTTTATAAAATTTCGTATTTCTGAGACTTTACTTGCTTAAATGAAAGTATGCATTCCTGATGCATTTTTACAAGAATATCTTAAATTAGGAATGGTTTATTAAATATGTTATTTATGCTTGCAATTTGTGTTTAAACATGACTTGTAAACAATTTCTAGGAAAAAGCCATTGAGAGTTTGAAGAATTTCATCATTAGTGATGTGTTCTGCATCTTTTGAGATGCTGTTGTCCTAAATTTGAGTTTCTATTGTTTTACTGTTAATAATTTGGTTGTAATATCTTTTTCATTTAGAAAAAAAAATCATCAAAAAAAGATTTAGTGAGCATCTCTTACATTTAGTGTTTCGGTTATAACGGGAACAACATGGTTGTTTATACGATGTTTGCTGAGGCCAAAGATTCATCGTGTAGGTGTTAATCTAAGTATTAAAATGATAATTTTAAGACTATTCTGCAGATGTTCATTTGCCACGGGTATGTTTTCGGATATCGGCTTGAAGGGTTTTCATGATTCTTCTTTATGATGTGTCGGTAATTGCTTTATCCTTGATTTTTCATGTTTCTCCCTAATATGATATTTAAGTTTAATATGTTTTGATTATGTACAAAATAAGAATTAATAGAATACTATTCCTACTCCCAATCTTTGACTTTATTTACTTTTTTGGTACCCAATTATTTTTATTTTTACCTTGCTGTTTCTTACCTTCGCTTTTTGTCTTTAGATTAACTATATTCTAATACATATTTGTTTATGTTTATCAGAACGTTAATGTCTAATGGAAGTACAGTTATTCATTCCAATACCAATTATTTTATTACACTTTGTTATTGGTTGTTAAATCTTTTAATCTGTTGTTTATATTTTTTAATTTTGAAAAAAAAAAAACGATTATAAACGTCTTCTTAGAACTGCATAAAATATAAGATAAATATAAGCTGAATATGTCCTTAGAACAACTGCATTTTTAGTTTGTTTTTCGAATTCAACATATACAAAGGGTGCATTCACCAATTTCTTTGAACAAATTCAATCAAAGTGTCAAAGACATTGTTTTTAATACTTTCATTATATTTTATATGTATTGTTCTTAAAAGTCTTTAGAAATAACTCATTTTTGTCAAAATCTTACATTGAGTTCTATCTTCCACAATAATTAGGTATATTTAATTCAACACCATACTTTTAACAATTTCAAAAATTTGTTTAGGTTTGTCTATTGTTGACCATTTTACTTTCAGTAATAATTGATGTTCTTCCTCCAACTTTATATAGTACGTCAATATTCAAAACTTATCTAATAAATCTAACTTCACTTTAAGTCACTAATTTACACGTTAAAAAACTTTTTTATAGACTTTATCAAGGCTGTGACAAATTCTATTTTTTTATTTATAATATTAAAAATGTCTCATATCCTTTATTGTAAGTACTTTCCCACATTATATTTCAAAAAACCAATGCTATAATCTTCCAATTGTCCAAATGTTACAATAAACATGGTGATTATTATAAAAAATGAAGAACAATTTTCTAAGCTTAACAGTATCTTTTTTGAATTCTATCTTTATTAATTTGTAGGCAATTACGAAATACATATTGGACATGCTGATGTTCCTTTTAATGCACATTCATTCGATTTTTTAATTCATTTCCGTCGCATACAATATATTCATATTTTCATTTATGTTAACCTAGTGGGCTAAGGCACCTTATTTGTTTGTTTCAAATATTTTTTGCTTTGTTTTATTAATATTTGTCTTTAATTTTCATATATTTTTTTCGAGCTGCAATTTTGATTATATCTACTATGTAAACATATACTACCCCAAAATCTTTTGTTTTGTTAATCCAATGTAAATCCAGATTAAAAATAATGTCAATAAATGATTATTTTATTAAAATTCCGACAAACTATTGCCACATTTCTCTTCCACATATATGGTACTATACATCTAAATAACTACAGACTTTGACCATAAAGCCCATCTTTATTTGCCCTACAATTAAAATATATTTTACATACAAATACTAGTCTTCTAACAGTAGGTAAAAGTTATAACACAATGTCCAAACATAAATTATATTAAGGACGTTGACATAAAGTGAAACCAAAATAAAGCGTCGCAAACATAATACACTGAAGACAACTCAACAGAAGAAAGAGAAATCTTCAAGCAGTGTCAGAATGAAAGCTCACACGACGACTGAGCTATAAAAATTAGAGATGGGCGTGAACGAACATTTTTGATCCAAATAGGCATCGAAATTGAACATGTGTAATCTTAGAAGAATGTTTATTGAGTAAAGTTAAACGTGGTTATGGAAGTGGTGGCAAATTTGAGTAGAAAATTTTAATTTGGTATTTTATTAAACAGTTAGAATAAGATACTAAACTTCATTTTTGTGGTATAATTGATTTTCAGACCTTTTTTAGTTAAACGTTAGTTTTTGTGGATGTTTAGGTCTATTTTGTAATGCCTTACACTCGTTGGAGGTTGGCAATTATCCTGGTCTGCACAAGGTTACTTTCTGAACTTGGGGGCTACTATTTACATCCGGTCACTCTATTAGTTTCCCAGTCACGAGATTCATGCTATAACTACCCCTCTGTATCAATTTAATATATTTTGCAGTTTTGTGCAGACTATTGTTTGAACTTTATCTTCATTAATCAGCCAATCGCGTCCACTGCTGGACATAGGCCTCCCTCAGTTCTTTCCAGTGTTCTCTACACTGGGCCGCTTGTAGCCAGTTTCCCGCTACACGTTTTATATCATCGGTCCATCTAGTCGGTGGTCGTCATCGACTTCTTTTATAGTTTCTGGGCCTCCATTCCATAATACGTCTTGTCCAACGTCCATCTTGTGTTCTGGCTAAGTGCCCTGCCCAGTTCCACTTAAGCGACGTGGTTCTTTCGATGACGTCTTGAACTCCTGATCTTTGCCCAATTTGTTGGTTTGTTATGTGGTCTCGAAGGCTCACGTTCAGCATTGCACGTTCCATGGCTCGTTGTCTAACTCTGAGTTTATTCGCAGATTTTTGCGTGAGTGTTAAAGTCTCTGCTCCATAAGTTTGTACAGGTAAAACACATTGGTTATAAACCTTTCGCTTGAGACACATGGGAATTGAACTTTTTAGAATATGGCTTAATTTGCCAAATTCTGCCCAAGTTAGGCCTATTCGCCTCTGTATTTCATGTGTTTGATTGTCTCTGCTTATTTTGATTTCGTGTCCCAGATATTTGTGTCTGTTTGTTGTATGGTATTATTGTCAATAGTTATATTTCCACTCATTACGAGATTTGTTATAAGATTAGTTTTCTCAAAGTTTATCTTTAATCCTGCTCTTTCAGACAGACTTTTAAGCGAATGCATCATAGAAACTGTATCTTGTAAATTATCTGCGATTAATACAACATCATCTGCAAATCTTAGGTGATTTTAAATATTGACTCTAGAGTGCTCTTAAATATTGACTCTGGAGCTGCCGTGAACAATTTTGGTGAAATATTGTCTCTTTGTCTAACTCCTCGACCTAAGCTGAATTTTTCTGTGTCTTCGTGTAGTCGTATACTTGATGTAGCGTTCTCGTAGATGTTTTTGATTAGTGTTTACTTTATCTATTCCCTGTAAAACATCTGTGTTCGTAAATTCCTGACGTCTCTAATCTGATAAAAAATAAAATATTAAAATATTAAAATACCTATTTTAAAATACATCCAACCCTACCATCTCCACCCCAATATATTTTCAACGATTCCACTTCAAAATTCTTTTCGGCAAGTGTTTTTTGACTTAAAAAAAATCATGGGCGATTTCCATCGCACCTTGCTAAGCTGGGCATTATACAGTCATCGGCCTGTAGTTGTGATCAGAACTCTTACGGAGATCTAAACCATATAT